TATATGCAATTTAAGTTCAGTGCAATTTAAGCATGCTCTTGGAGATTTTGCTCAGCTGGGACCTGGAATACCAGCTGCTCCCATATCCTTTCCGATAGGTATCTTTGCAGAGATGCCAAAGAGCAGAAATAGAACACAGACTTAATGTTACAGAAATGGACAGCACTTGGTGCATAGTAGTATAAAGAGAAAATGCATAAAGCCAGTTTTTAAGTTGCGATTTGTGGCTTGAGGTAAACTAGTTAATTTTACTCTTAAAAGAAAAAAATAATTGGGGAATTGCCTACACATTTATTCAGAATAAACCTCATGAGAAAATATTTTTTAAATGTAACTTACATGTTTCAGATGTCACGGAAACCAAGAGGAAGGTAGATAGGAAGATCAAATGTGCATACACCATCATATTTCTAAACCAAAAAGAAAAACATTGCTATCTCAGATTATGCTCTGACTGCATTAGTTATACTATTGCCATGGCACTGATGTACATCTACTAACAGATAATGGTATTGTGCAGTGATAAAGTATATCATGTACCGAGCAAGTAACAGTGGTTTTACAGCTTTGAGATAATGCTCTTTGTTCTATGATCAATGCATTGGCTGATGTTGCATTGAAACTACTGTTATGACTTAGTTTAATGAGGGTGGGGGAATTACTCTGCCATGGTGGGCCTCTGGCAGAAGCCTCTTTTTGCTTAGTTGCTTTTTTTTTAAGGAAGCTAAATGTACGTTGGCATTCTCTTCATAGTCAAGTGCAGAAAAATTACACCACAATTTAGAAAGGGATAGATCTTGGGTTTGAAAATGTATACCCTGCCTTTGAATTAAGCTTACAACCAATCAGTCGCCTAGGGCACACCACCTTTTTGGCTTTCTATGGAAGTGAAGGTATCTTCAGTGACAGCTTCTCTAGATAAGTGTTTAGCAGTAAGAACAAAACCAGGTGAGCGCCATCAGCAGTGCTAATCTGAAGGGGAACTGGAAAAATGGAGTGGGAGATAGGTAACAGAACATATACCACATGTGTAATAGCAGTAGGGCAGGTCCCTTGCCTCACTGATGCTTTCGTTTGTGTCTAACTGATATCTACCTGCTGTAATTCACACCTTGCAGTGTGGCTCAGTCACTCACCAGCAAAATCCTTTATTAAAGAAACTGGCTACTTGTCCATAGACATAGTCTAGGAATATTTCAGGAGACAGCTATACTACGCAGCTGTAAGCATTCTACTTACCATTAAATAAACCGTTTGCTTGAATTCTGTCCTTTACTGCAGATCACAGAGTGACGGGTTCTAATATCATGTAGGAGGAAGAAGTGGTCTCATGGCACTACAGATGGCAGATGAATTTTCAAGAGAAATCAAGTTAGAAATAAATTATAATTTATCTTGCAGATAGTGAACACGAGGAGTGAAAAATACGCAAGAAATGGACACGCAGGGTAACTACTGTCATCACACTTGCTGCAAGGCATTTTTACTGCAGTGCCAAAGATTTCCAGACTAAGTAAAGTTTGAAAGACCTTATCAAGACCTACATTATTGCCAAGTCTGAAATTCAGAATAAATCAATTTTGAGATTTCAGAAAGGTCATTGGGTTTGTATTGATAAGGAAAGTTTCTTCTTTTAGAAGGTTTAATACCATCCAGAAGCTTATTCTTAAACTCTTAAGAATAATAACAAAACTTAGTGTTGGAAGAGGAAAACTTGAGCATTTCAGTGTAGGTATTTATATATACATAGCACCATTCCAGCATTAATGTCCCAGCAAGGCTGATGCCTTTTACGGAAAGGCTGCAAGAAATGGCCAGCCAGGAGCCCATAGAAACAATGCTGCATTGATACTGTGAATTTTGTTGTGTGCCATCTTACTCTATATCTTTCTTTGCTGAGGGCCTATCCTGTCCCTGTCGTCCCCTGAACCCTCTTCTGGACCAGCTTGTTCGTGTCTTCCTGAGCAAAACTCCAGATGTTTGTTTAGCTAAAGAGTACCTTCTAAAAATCTATTAAACCGACCTAAGATTTCCTTAAAATTAACAGGTCAGTAGGCTGCAATCTCTTGTACATGGTGTTTTTCCCCAGCTCTATTGAAAGCAAGCAGCTCCTCATGCACATTGTTTCTACGGGCTCCTGGCTGGCCATTTCTTGCAGCTTACAAGAGCCATTATTGATCATGCCAATTAATTCACCACTTCCATACACTTGTGACGTTGCTAATCAGCATTGGCTTATGCAGAGGAGACCTTTTCTTCCTAAAAGGTCCTTCTGACCAGCCAGGTGGCCAGTTTTGCAAGCTGACTTTCACCTATTTGGTACCCAAATACATCTTTGAAAGCTCACTTGTTCCAGAGAGGGACTGACTGACACGTCTGGGACTGCAGCAGGGTATGGTACAAACTAGCAATGTAGCAAGGGAAGGTGAATTCCTTCAAATTATATTTATGCAGCCTTCCAGACCACTGTACTATCAGATGCTGAATGCCTACAGCATGCAAACTACATATATGTGTATTCACATAAGCAAACATGATAAGCAAAACACTAGCTGCAGCAGGGCTACTTCATATAACCAAGATTAGTTACATTTGATCAACTGAGGCTCCACAGTGAAGTCTCCAGACCCTAAGAATCAGGTAAGTGAAAATCTCTAAGCTGAATAATAAATAAAATATAATTAGGTTGAGTAATTAAATAGACACAAAAATATTCAGAATATGCCTGCTCTACTGGGAGCCTTTTGTCTCCAAGTGGTTAGTTCACTTCCACAAACTTATTTGCCCCTAACAAGGTATATACCAACAGTTATACCAACTGTCCTACTATTTTTCTGTGCTGTTTTGATTAAGCAAGCAGATGCTCCAACAAGATGACAAAAAAGTAAAATGATTGCTTTTTAAAGGAAAATCAGTTTCATGGACTAGATTTGGAGACTATCTGAAATGAGGTTCTTTCTCATTTGATATTTTATATGTAGATGCTTAACAAAAAGTTGCAAGGAGCTGTGCTTTCTCCATTTTTGAGATACAGCTTTGTCCAGGAATGGAGACAGCCAAATACTTGCCCTCATCAACTCTTCTAAGAAGGGCCAGAATGATCCAGGAGTAAGAAATTTGTATTTGCCTGTCTGCGTACTTGCCAGTTTTTGTGTTTCACCTTCTGTTTCTTGAAAAAGTATGTCTTCAAGAGACCTTACACATACTGGACTACCAGACTGCACCAATCCAGTGTAAAATAGCTGTCCTAAAGGACAGATTCTCCCCACCTAATTTTGATGATTGCTTGGCTGATTTTCCCCCATTTTTAAGTTGAGGTGTACTGGTGGCAGTTTAGGTAAAGTTTGGGGTTGTGTGTGTGAATATGTGCAATATATGGGTTTCTAATTAAAGAGGGATGTTCCCTGAAAATATAAGAGTTCAGGCAATCAAAAGAACAACATGATTCTGTTTGCAGTTCCAAAGTCAGCAGCAAACTGCCAAATTACCTCCATAAAAAGCAGGGCAGAGGCTGCAGTTCTAGACAGCAAATAGCAAGAGGAGGACTGGGTCACTAGTGCCTTACAGCTTGTGGCGTTACTCTATGCAAAGCAAAATTAAAGCATTCACACATCCATGGTACTTAGCTCAAATAATCAGGGTATTATGAAGCACAAGACAAAGGCATTAAGACACCTCACATCCCACAATCAAAAGGAAGAAGTTCCTGTAGCTTTAAACCCTCAGAGACAAAGGCCATAACTTCTGGAAACAGTTATGAGTTTTCTTTATGCTTTTGCAATTTTATTTGAAATTTATGTTTTAATACATTTGTCTGAAGTAAAACATGCATAACAGATTTTTGGATCCTCAATATGCCATAAATTTAGGTTGATAAAATCCAGGGGAAAGAAGATAAAGAGACATTTTCCATATCTCTCTTTCTTATTATAGCTTAGAATAACTGCATGTTATGAGCTTAAGTCTGAACTCCACGAAGAAAAACTTCAGTATGATGCTGAAAAACCAACAGAACCAAATACAGAGATTTGGGATAACTACCTGAGTATGTCAAAACCTAGCCCCTAATGATCCAATATCAAACAAAGATGAAAGAACTGGGAACCCCGAAAGAACTGGGAATCCCCTAGTCATGCTGGAGAAGCGGTAGTCTATATGGCTCAACTCCTTGCTTTTCCAAAGGCAACTATGTTGGTAACATATTTGTGATTTTCTTTCCAAAATTGTATTTGGCAACAAACTCTTTATAGTACTGTTTATGTAAGTGAGCAAACATTATAGAAGTACCATACCTTGCATATTAACAAAACTTGGAAAGGTTACTGCAATTTCTACTTTAAAAAGCTTAACAGGCTTAGAATTCATTTATTCACCTTTTGAAAGTTGTTTTCATTATCAAACCTGAAAACCCATTCTGACTGAAAATGGGCTATTAAAAAAGCAACAGTAACACTGAACTTATTCCAGAACTAACACTCACGATTGTTAACACCTACACTAGTTACAGCTGTAAGTGTAAAATTTAGGCATTTCAGTGTTGAAGTATGGAAAGGCTAGAACTGATATACACGTTATTCTTACAAAGTATTTTGAATCAAGAGAGTACATAACTATACTAAACCCTGAGAAATCCATTGCACCATTCTGTGTAGTTGAATAATTAGTAAAAATATCTGCCAGAAAACTGAGGGCAAATCCATTTCTAAATACATTTCATTATAAGGTAAATCTTTGTGTTGGTCCCAAAATTATTTGTCTATCACATAAGCGTAGCCAGTATTTTAATACTTTTTTTTTTCTTGAGATAAAGCAGCATTTAAGTGAACTGAAATAAACTTTCTTATAAAACACTTCAGTTATTTTTGGTTAAATGATAATATAAAAATTAGACCTACCAGCTGGAAAATAAGAAAGCAGAAAAGTGGCTTGATCTCTGTGCCTGGGTCCTTTGCACTGATTTCTCTGCTGAGGCTTGTAGCAGATAGTGCTGGGAACTCTTTTTAACTGACTTGTGCAGTTTGTATCTGTAGAAGCAAGATATACAGCTCATTTTGAGACACCTCCCACTGAACAGAGCAGAACACGCAAATTGCTGTAGTAAACTTAAGTACCTATCAGAGATGTCATCTCATAGTTCCAATTAATCAGGTACCTTTTACCAATAGCATAGGTTTTCCATTTATCATAACTTATTCCACTTCAGCATGATTATACAGCAATAAATCTCTGGCTGATTACTGGCTTTCTCATATGCCTGGGGAGAACATAAAAGGGAGACTGAGCCAGCAGAGGGTGCTTTGAAACAGATTTTGTCTGAAAACAAGTGACAGCTTTGCCTGGACTAGTCAGGCAGCAGTTCCAGAACAACTCTAAAACCCCTTGGAGCAGCAAGAAAAGTTTTTAGTG